AGTTGACTGAAGTTTTGACAGGAAGTATTGTCATTATTTGGATAATATTCTCATCTTTGTTGTTTTGAGCACATTTTGCTTAGCTCACTAGTATTTCTTTCCTCAGGTAATCTGAAAAGAGTTCTTTAATTCATGGTATTTGCTGGTTGAGAATAATTTCAAAAATTCAAGTTAACTCTTTCCAGACCTCCAGAAGGAAACCAGAGTTTCTAGGTTTAAAACTTACGTGCTATACTTTGAGCACTTTGGTTAATTTTGCATTTAGTTAATTTCAGCATTTCATACAAAAACTTGTCTATATTTCTGATATGACTATTTACACTATTGTTTAGACTGTTGTCCTCATCTTTATTGTCATATTCACATTTCAGCTGCTGTACATTCCGGCTTTCTTCAATTGATATATGCTGGAATTTCAAAAGACACATGACACCGCGAATAAAAGCAGTGGTTGAAGTAATCCATTGACTTGATGCAAAAGGTTGTGAGTTCAATACCTGGCCACAGCAAAGGTGAAGAATAACTTGGAAAGCTGAGTTACTAAAGGTATTTAACTGAAACTGAGATATCCAGAAAAGGCATGGCATGTGGAACGAGAGCAATCTACCGCAGTAAAAAAAAAGGTTTTAGTTTGAAATTCCAACATATATCACCTGAGGAAGGCTGGAGCGTACAATGTCCAAAACTTCATGAATATGACAATGAAGATTAGAACAACAATTTAAACAATATAAATAGTTAAATACATTTGCTTACTTTTTAGTTGAGCATTTTTAAAACTTTTTGTTTCTGCACCTTCGTTTAGTATGGAACATGTTCAATTTGATTATACATTGATATAGAGAATATTTCTAATTATTGCTGTTCAATTTGATTATATATAGATAAATACCAGCTTTATTCTACAATGCCATGGTTCGCAAACTTTTTTTTTCTCTGAGCTACATTTTCAGAGTGAAAATTTGTTCACACCCAGCCAAATTTTACATGATAAAAAGTACATTTAAAAATAAAAACAGGGAGAGGGTTAAAGGGAGATAATCGCGGATTCGAAGTCAGAACATTATCATTGATAACTCTCTCCTCCAATTTGCAGACCCTAGTTACTATATTCTTAATTCTTGATATAATTAAAAAATATCACAATGATAAAATCAGTCAATAATTATTTATAACTGTTTATACTGGTATTGTGCTGCACCATTTGGAACACCACTGCTATAATGGTAAATAGCTTTCTTAACCACACTGCCTGGTAATTGCTCAGACATGAAACTTAAGATGGAAGAAGAGCTAGAAATGAGAATTTCACAATTTCTCTTCATAATTATATAAAAAAACTGCAGATTATTCCACTTCCAAAAGGATTCCTAGTGAAACTAAATAAATGGAAAAAAACATTAAATTTATAAAGGCTTTATTTAATTATACATGCTGGGAGTAAAAATACAGTGCTTGATGTAAAATGACAGTAGTAAGAGGAATTATTCTTACAGTCCAAAATATGTTTTGGCTTTAAAAAAACCACAAACAGTTTATAAGCCATAAAAAAATTAAATCAATTTTTCAGTTCTCTGTCTGTAACCTTTTTGGTATATCAAACCAAACACTTTATTCAATTCACAGGATTGATTTTTCTTACCTTTTACATGTTTAGGGAATATTTTATATCAGTTAATAGTCACCAATCCTATTCATCTTCATGTAGCTTGTTTGTTCCTTCAACTAAACCAGTATATCTGACTTTTCAGTATAAGAACCATGGGCAAGCAGATGAAAGCACTGGTTAAAATATTTAAGATTTCCTGAGAGTTCCGAGTTCAATCCCTAGCACCAGTAAACCAAATTGAAAATGAATTACAAAAGTTATTTTCAAAAATTTGTTTTTTTAAAATTTAACATATAAATTACTTTAAAATTACATTAAAAAATAGGAAATTATGATTCACTAGAAATAAATGATTACTGATTGCTTTTTCTAAGGGCACTAGAATTCTGATTTCAGTAGGATAATAGACAGTACAGATTAAGTCCCATCTTGCAACATAATAAAATACATCAGAAAACAGATTGTATTGTATATATGTTGTAGAGTAGTTTTCACAGTGGAGGCTTGTATTTCACTAAGTCGGTCCTAAATTAGGTTCGATGTACAAAACGTTAGGAACTTGAAATAATAGTTAATGACACAGCAATCTAGTTGTGGTGATGATACTTTAATGTCCGACATCGACCGACTCACTCAACTCACTGAGCCCCCTGGCGACTGCTACTACTTATTATCTGTGGGAGAGTCATAATAGAATAGAATAGATATGTTCCAGTATAACAATATGCCATATGTCTACACTATAATTGTTGTAGCCAGCATTTCACACTATGTAAAATTTATATATATTATACATTTACTTATTTAAAAATATGGTTCCATCACTACACAGGAATTACCATGTTTCAAAAACAGAAGCTAAAAACTTCAAATTCAATTATATAAATTAAA